TAGGGTTCAGAGTGACCTAGGCAAATTGGAGGACTGGGGCAAAAGGAATCTCCTGAGGTTCAACGAGGACAAGTGCAAAGTCCTGCACTGAGGAGGGAGTGATCCCCTGCATGGGTGTAGGCTGGGCGTGATGGGCTGGGCAGCAGCTCTGCAGAAAAGGACCTGGGGGGACAGGGGACAAGGAGCTGAACAGGAGCCGGCAGTGTGCCCTTGTTGCGCAGAAGGCTAACGGCATCCTGGGCTCCGTTTGCAGCAGATGGAGGGCAGTGATTCTTCCCCTCTATTCAGCACTAGGGAAGCCACACCTGGAGTCCTGCATTCAGTTTTGGGCCACCCATTACAGAAATGATGTGAACAAATTAGGGAGAGTGCAATGGAGGGGAAAAAATAGTGAGGGGGCTGGGGAACATGACTTGTGGGAAGAGGCTGAGGGAACCAGGCTTATTTAGTTTGGAAAATACCAGACTGAGAGGGGATTTAATAACAGCTTTCAGCTCCCTGAAGGGTGCTGCCAAAGGGGATGGACCCTTTCTTAGTGGTGGCAAGTGACAGAGCAAGAAGCAACCGTCTCAAGTTGCATCAAGGGAAGTTCGGGTTAGTATTAAGAAGACTCGTCTCATGAGGAGGGTGGTGAGGCACTGGAAGAGGCTCCCCAGAGGGGTGGTGGAGTCTTCATCCTTGGAGGTACCTAGAGGGGCTATTTTCTGGTGCTTCAGGCCTTAAAATATTTTATTTCAGTCGTTCTCAACCTTTTTTGTGTCAGGACCCATTTGTAAACATCGATGGCCAGTCCCAACCCAGTGCCCCTCACTCCCGACCCGCTGCCTCCACCCCAGGGCCCAGCACCCCAGGCTGTGGGGCAGGCAATGGGTGTGTTGGGCCGGGGTGGGTGTGTGGGGCACGGGGAGCCCCAAGCAACTCTGCTACCCTGAAAAGGAAAAGCCACGGTTTATCATGATTTTCTCCTTTGAAGGAGAACCCATTTTTAAAGTTTGTTGATCCACTTGTAAAGTTTGTTTGTGACCCTGTCGTGTATTCTTGCATCCCACGGTTTGAGAAATGTCCTTTAGCTTCCAAGACATTTCTCCCCTGATTCTTTTCCAGCTCAGCACCCACCTGACCTGCACTCAAGCGTGACGCTGGCTGCACAGCGCCCTTGTGTGCTGTCAGGTATACACATGGGGGCACCTGCACCAGGCTGGCAGCCCTTGAATTACACACAGGGATCCTCTCCATGCTCCCCTCTGCAAGCGGGACAAGCTGTAGCCTCCAGGGCTTGAGCCCAGAGGAAATCCCGACCCACATCAGGGCTGTGGAGACTGTCAGGGCAGGGCTGACAAAGTGTCTGAGGAAGGTAGGAGCCCCCGGTGCCCAGACCAAGCCCCTCGCAGGGCTCATGGCACATAGGAACAGCTTCCTCTTTGGCTGGGGGACCCTCCCTCCTGGACTCTTCCGCCTGACTCTTGCCAACTGCCTTGCCAGGTTTGTGATGGCTAGGAAAGGTGGTCAGGTCATGGTCACTAGCACCCAGCTTCCCATCGATTCTTAAATCCCTGACCAGGTCATCCCCTTTGGCCAGTACCAGATCCAACAATGCTTTACCTCTTGTTGGCCCGTAGACTTCTTGAGTCAGGTGGAGCTTGTCCACGCACATGAGGAAGCTTTGCGACCAATTGCATTTGGCCGAGTGCTTTTCCCATGAGATGTCCGGGTAGTTAAAGTCTCCTGTGACAACCGTGCACCGGGAGCGTGCAGCCTCAGCCAGTTCCCTGGCAAACTCCTGGCCCAGCTCTTGTTTCTGGTTAGGAGGTCTGCAGTAGGCTCCTACCATGATGTCCCCTTGCCTTGTTCCCCACCTATTTTGACCCAGAGGGACTCCAGTCATTTGGCCAGGGTGACATGGGCACTGTCACCCCATAACCTGCTCCTGTCCAGCCAGGAATGAAGGTTCGCTTGGTTGCCTAAAGGGGTGAGGGATACAGGTTGACACCCATACAGGCAAAAGGAATCAGAAGTTGTGGTGGAGGTGATGTCTTTTATTAGACCAACTGGATATTTGCAAAAAAATGTCTTTATTTGCAAGCTTTCGGGCACAGTCACCCTCACATTCATTTGCTTTCAGAGTGAATGGCTCCCTCCTGATCACAGGATTTTAGCCTGTAGCCTCCACGCACAAGCTCACCCCACACTCAGACCCATGGCAGCAGGCAGCCCTTAACGAGGCACTATCACGGCCTAATCTGCTGCAGCGTGAACTGCTTTCTGATGCCCTTAGAGCAACTGGCGCCCGCCCGCTCATAGCAGTGCGTGCAGCCGTAGCCACCACACCTTATAAGAAAGTCCTTTTCTCCCCTTGTGCCGCCATGCCCGTCACGATCGCACAGCCTCACCCCACAGCCAGACCCGCACTGGCAGCAGGCAGCCAGCCCTTGCTGATAACATCACCATCAGTAGGGTCACTGTATTTGCAGCAAAATAAAAGTTTTGTTCTGGCTCAGCCCATTCTGTTGTCCCTCACGCCAAGCCACAGCCCCCTGAGCCATCCTGCTGCCCCTAACTCCCCATCACCCCCCCAACGCTGGTTTTTCCAGTTTTACAAGTTAAGCAAATGATAAGAAGCATTCTGGAAAAAAACCACCAAGAAAAGCTTGCCTTCCCATCCAAGCTGTTGGGCTGCAGGCCCTGAATGGCTGCAAACAAGTCAGCAGCAGAGCCTCCGTGTTTCGCGTTGCCCGTCACCTTCTTGCACGACAATCCAATCCCTCCCGCCCGTCAGTTGTCAGCTGAATTAACCGCCCTCTCCATTTCTCTCCCGCCAGTTGACCTGCAAATCCCACCGCTCACGTCACAGCCCAGCCTAATCTCAGGTGTCAGTTCACATTCATACACATTCGGGCTGGAAGGGACCTTGGAAGATCACCGAGTCCAGCCCCCTGCCCCAGGGGCAGGAAGTCAGCAGGGATCATAGGATCCCAGCAAGATAAGCATCCAAATGTCTCGTGAAGGCATTTAAAGTAGGTGCTTGAACCACCTCCGGCGGCATGTCAGATGTCAGTTGACTTCAAAGTTCCCCATGGCTTAACGCACCAGTTGTGGAGGACGATGTCCCCCTCTCTCCTCTTCGGTGAACTCATCGAGGGCTAGCACTTGTGAACTGCTGCTGTCTTCCTCGCTTGCGGCAGCAGGACTTGCAGTCAGACCCATGGTCAGTGAGCTCTCAGGAGCGGAGGATGGTCTAGATACCTCTAGTCATCTCTTTGCTTGGTGTTCGAGTACCTCCATTACTGGCTGGAGGTACCGATAATGCAACAAGTTATGCATGGGGGCTGCCATTCTGTCATGCATGGAGGTAAACACGGCTCATAAAAAAAGGCAGTAAAACGTGCGGTGGATAGGGAGAACCAAGAGGCAGGTGCAGAGCTGAGGGCTGACAGGACTCTGTGCATCAACCTTAGGAGTAGCAACCACAGGGTCTGGGCCCATGCGAGCAGCTCTGACCAGTGGGAGCAAATCGTACTGTTGATGTGGAAGAGTCAGCAGTGACTGGAGATGGTCTGAATGACCAGGGAGACACTTAATCACATGTTCTCAATGCTGGGGCTACAAATAGTGAGGCAGGACACTGCCATGGCCATCATGAAATGGGCCACCCTGCCAGCCTCCACTACATCGCAAACCAGTTTGGCATGGATGGCTCCCTGCATGGCCAGGCTGGTGACGTGTGAAGTACGCCAGCTGCTGCCGGATGTCACAGAGAACAACTTGATTTGCCTCAATAACCCCCCAAAAGTTATTGATGGCTTCAATGCCATGGGGTTCCCTAACTGCATGGGGGCTTTAGACAGCACACATATCCCTGTGCTATCCCCCTGGCTCATTCACAAGCAGGAAGAGATTTGCCGCAGGGATCTTGCAAGCCAGGGTAGATCACTGGGCCAGTTTACTAACATGTATACGGGCAGGACAGGCAGTGCACATGATGCACGTGTTTAGAAACTTACTGCTGCCTGGTCTGACCGAGAAAGGACACTATGCACCAGGAATCCCCGACAGAGTGATCCGTGGTGCTGCCATCCCCCCCCACCCCCATCTTATCTAGCAGATGCTTCTCACCCCCTCAAGCCCCGGCTCATGAAGCCATATGGAAGACACATACCAACTGCAAAAGACAGCTTTCAACTACCACGTGAGCAAATGCAGGATGGATGTTGAACGCACCTTTGGCTGCCTCAAACCACAGTGGAGGTCACTGAACTGCAGGCATGACTTGGAGCCAGAAAACATAACAGCCAGCCCCCTGACCGTCCACCTTAACAGGTACAGCACTAAGGTGGGGGGGCTATAGCCACCCCAAAATGGCACAGAGCTGCAGCACAGCTGCACACATCTGGGCCAGTATCCAGGGCATCAGAGTGCAGCTGCTGCAGGGGTCTCCGTGGAAACCAGCCCAAGACGCTATGGCAGGGGCTGTTGAGAAATGAAGTGTAGAAGGAAAATGGAGGGACAAACCCAAACTCCCCACCTGCAGTGCCACCGAGAATATGGTACCCCATGGGGGTGGTGGTCCACGCACCACCACCACTACCAATATTTGCCATGCTTCCCCCATGCCCATCACCATGGACCACTGGAAGGAGACAAGTAGCAGCAGCAGCAAATGGTAAATCTGCAATTGAGGGGGAGCGGCGCCGCCTTAGTACTTTAATATTTTGGGGTATCTTTTGTGTTTCTTATAATTGTCTTCCAGGACCCCCTCACATGGCGGACGCTGCTTCCCAAACCTGGGACCCCCCAGGCTGTGCAGCATCAAGGGTGATTTTTAGGTAAGGACAGAAATTTCCCACAGGAGATTTTGTACCCTTGTAGTGGGGAAAATCTTCTTTTCTAGGGAAGGTGTCATTGAGAGAGGTAAAAAAAGTGCTCTGAGGTTAAGTAATAAAGCTGCGATATTTCTAAGTAAACGTTTTCACTTTGGAACCAAAATAAAAGATCTAGGCTAATTTATTCACTTGGAGGGTATGTTTTTTTAATTTTAGCTCTTCACTGAAACAGTGTGTTTGCTCATGTTGGAATCTTTGGTTTTAAACCAAAAAGCCATTTGTTTTTGTCTTTTTTTAAATTTGAAACCATTTTTTTTACTACCAGTTTTCCCTTTTCACATTTCTGTCAGAAAATATTCAGCGGAAATTCAAACTTAAAAGGCTTTGGCAAAATTCAGCACACTGGATATGGGTCACTGGCATTTCCTGCCCATAAGCAGTCTGAAGTCTCGGGCAGGGTGGCTCAACAGTAACACGCCCTCGGTAGCAGTGATGCCAGAGCCACCAGTGATGGCACCATACGGGGCATTCACTTCCCCATGGGTGGTGGCAACACCAGCCCCTTGAGCAGCCTCCCCCTGCCCTGTTCCAGCCCCTCCGGCAAAGGCTTTGCTCCCCACTGCTGCCTCTGCTCATGGCCAGGGCCCGCTCGGAGGTCTCGTGTCCTGCTCTGGTCCCAGTCCTGCAGCTGCCTCCAGTGCAAAGGCTGTGCTTGGTGGGCTGCTGTCTGATCTCTGCCCGACCAGGACCTGGGGCTGGGGTCTCGGCTCATGCTGCCACTGCTTCCTGCCTGGGCTGGGGGCAGCCCTGGGCACCTCTCTCAGTGGGAGACCTGCAGGGTGCACGTTCAGATGTATCAGGGTGCAGCCCAGATACTTCTGTCTGAACATGCTCCCCTTGTTTCTATGCACTGGAGCAGCTGAGGGGCTCCCAGTTAGGGGGAAAGTCTCCCTCTCTGCACTCCTCCCACCTAGGGCTGGACTCTCCCTGCCTGGGACCAGTATATTGGGGGTTGCAGGGGTCCCGCAGGCAGCTGCACAGCTGGAGAGGCATCCCCAGGACCATCCTTGAGCCAAACAGCTATCGCCTGAGCAGGAAGGCCTCAGTATTCCCAACGGGAGATTACATTGTGCTGCATTTCACCCAGAGGATGTCTTCATACTTTCCTCACCCTTCCAGAGGGGAGGTAGGACCTGCCACCGGCTGCACCTCCTTCACCCCTGCTACTCCACTGCGCTCAGAAAAGGGACTCCACTGCTTCCGGCCCAGCGGTTCCTTCAAACGGGCAGGGTCCTTGCTGCACAGCAAGACAAGGGAGTGAGGCCTTGAATTGGAGAAACTTCTGCTCCTGAGGGTACGAATAAGCTCCACATTGCTGTGAATGGTCTGGAAAGAGAAGGGGCCGGGATGTCACAGAGAAATCTGCCTTGGAAAGGGAGGTCTGTTCCCATCGCACAGCTTGGGAGAGGACAAAGACCAACCACAGGGTACCGTGTCCAGTTCTGGGACTTTCATAACACAAAATGCTTTACTGAGAAAGCAGTGAAGGGAGGGAGGGGAAAGGTGCAGCAGGCACCTCGTGGTGCACAGCTCTAGAGAGGCTGAAAAGGAGAACAGGCCAAAAAGGCTCCAGAGGTGGCAGTAGCAGCTCCTTGCAGACCTCACTGGGCATGGGCAGGCCTGGGAGAGGGGTGATGTGGTGGTGAGGAAAGGGAAGGTCAGAGGGGATGGCAGGGAATGCCTCCACAGCCATAAATGTCCCCCTTCCTGCTACTCAAGAGCATCAGATACCAGAATCCTGGGACCAGGAAGGAGGACAAAACTGGGAGGTGGCCAAGGACAGTCCCTGGGTATCATTTGCAGCCAGCTGTCTGAGGAGAGCACCCTATGGTAAAGGCACGGTTTTCCCTGGGAGTACTAACAACTTTTAGAGAATGATGGGGAATGCACAAGCTTCATGGCTGCTGCAAAGGTCATCTCATCTCTTCCCCCAGCATATGGACTGACCTGCCTGAGGCGTTTCCTCTAAGCCCCTCCCCACAATCAAACCTTGGGGGCCAGCCTCTGGCCCTGGGCTTCTGCAGACCCCTACAAGGGACAAAGCCTGGGGGAACTCTTTCTGCAGTCCACCAGCATGAGGGTGCTTGCCAAAATTCTCGCCCTCAGAATAGCTAGTTCAAATCCAGATGTCGTAGGGTTAACAGAGACGTGGTGGGACTCGTCCCATGACTGGGCAGTTAACATTAGGGGCTATAGGCTGTACAGGCGGGATAGAGAAGGCAGAAAAGGGGGGGGTGGCACTCTATGTCAAGGAGCACTACACATCCTCTGCCAGCAGAATGGGGTCAGGGGAAGGGCAAGCTGAAGTGCTCTGGGTCAAGATCCAGGGGAGGCAAGGCGAGAGGGATTTGACGGTGGGGGTCTATTACAGACCCCCCAATCAAGAGGAGGAGCTGGACAGGGAATTTTCAGGCCAGCTTGCGGAGACACTAAAAGCAAGGGATGTAGTTGTCATGGGCGATTTTAATTACCCGGACATCTGCTGGGAGGAGCAGTCAGCCGGGACGGACCGCTCCAGGAGGTTCTTGGCCGAGTTGCAGGACCTCCACTTGATTCAGGAGGTGCACAGTCCCACCAGAGGAGATGCCCTGCTGGACCTGGTCCTGGCCGCAGGCGACGACCTGGTAAGAGGCCTCCAGGTTCTTGACCACCTGGGCAATAGTGATCATCGCATGCTGGAATTCACCATCCAGCGTAGAGTGTCAAGGGCCCACAGCAAGGTGGTAGCCCTAGACTTCAGGAGGGCCAACTTCAGTGAGATGAGGAGATTAGTGGGAGAGGAACTGGGGTCCTTGAGGGCAGAGGAACTCAGCGTCCAAGAGGAGTGGTCGTTCCTTAAGGAAACGATACTCGGGGCCCAAGGGGTGTCCATCCCGACAAGAAGCAAGGCGGGCAGGAGTGTCCAAAAGCCCCCCTGGCTCACCAAGGGTGTCCGGGAATGCCTGCTTGCCAAAAGGGTGGCGTACGCCCGGTGGAAGGGGGGTGTAATCTCCAAAGAGGAGTATACCTCCTCTGCTCGGGCCTGCAGGCGGGCTGTTAGGAAGGCCAAGGCGGAGATAGAGCTCGGATTAGCGTCCAGGATTAAGGATAACAAAAAGTCCTTTTTCAAATATATTGGGAGGATGAAGAAGGCGCCGGGTAATGTGGGGCCCCTGCAGGATATGCGGGGCAATCTGGTGGTTGCGTCAGAGGATAAAGCGGACCTCTTTAACCAATTCTTCACCTCCGTTTTCTTGTGCAGGGACCGGGACTTCCCTGCTGTGATAGAAGCCGGACGCGAGGGGATCGCCTTCAGACCTCAGGTTGGGGAGGACCGGGTTAGAGAGCTTCTGGAGGGGCTGGACGCGTTCAAGTCAGCGGGTCCGGATGCTCTCCACCCCAGGGTGCTGAGGGAGCTGGCTGGGGTTATTGCAGGGCCCCTGGCACGGCTCTACGAGCGATCGTGGTGCTTGGGCCAGGTGCCAGACGATTGGAAGGTAGCTAATGTGGTCCCCATCTTCAAAAAAGGGAAAAGGGAGGACCCGGGCAATTATAGGCCCGTCAGTCTTACCTCAATCCTGGGGAAGCTCTTTGAGAAGATCATCAAGGAGCACATTTGTGATGGGCCGGCATCCGAGATGATGCTCAGGGGCAATCAGCATGGATTTATTAGGGGGAGATCATGTCAGACCAACCTGATTGCCTTTTATGATCAGGTCACAAAGGCCATGGATGCAGGTGTCGCGGTGGATGTAGTCTTTCTGGACTTCAGCAAGGCCTTTGACACCGTCTCTCACCCCATCCTAATTAGTAAACTAGGCGACTGTGGCATAGATGCCTACACGGTCAGATGGATTGCAGATTGGCTGAAGGGTCGCACTCAGAGGGTGGTGGTGGATGGATCATATTCGACTTGGGGGGAGGTGGGTAGTGGAGTCCCTCAGGGCTCGGTCCTGGGCCCTGCGCTGTTCAATGTCTTCATCAGCGATCTTGATGTTGGGGTGGAGAGCAACCTGTTTAAATTCGCTGATGACACCAAAATTTGGGGGGAGGTGAGCACGCTAGCAGGGAGAGAGAGATTGCAGAAGGATCTGGATAGGTTACAGGGGTGGGCAGACAGGAACAGGATGCGTTTCAATACGGACAAGTGCAGGGTGCTGCACTTGGGTAGTAGGAACCAGCAGCACACTTATACGATGGGGAACTCCCTACTTGAGAGCACGGAGGCGGAAAGGGATCTTGGTGTCATTATTGACTCCAAGATGAACATGGGCCGACAATGCGAGGTCATGGTTGGCAGGGCTAACCGGACCTTGTCGTGCATCCACAGGTGCATCTCGAGTAGAGCCAGGGAGGTGATCCTCCCCCTCTATGCGACGCTGGTCAGGCCGCAGCTGGAGTATTGTGTCCAGTTCTGTGCGCCCCATTTCAGGAGGGATGTGGACAACATGGAGAGGGTCCAGAGGAGGGCCACCCGCATGATCCGGGGACAACAGGGCAGACCCTACAGTGAGAGACTGCGGGACTTGAACCTATTCAGCCTCCACAAGAAGTGAGAGACTGCGGGACCTGAACCTATTCAGCCTCCACAAGAGAAGGCTGAGGGGGGACCTGGTGACCGTCTATAAACTCACTAGGGGGAACCAGAAGGGTTTGGGGGAGACGCTGTTTCCCCTAGCCCCTGCTGGCATAACAAGGAATAATGGGCACAAGTTGATGGAGAGGAGGTACAGATTGGACATCCGAAAAAACTACTTCACAGTCAGGGCGGCTAGGAGCTGGAACCAACTTCCAAGGGAGGTGGTGCTGGCCCCTACCCTGGGGATCTTTAAGAAGAGGCTGGATACTTACCTGGCTGGACTCATTTGAGTCCCGTTTTTGTTTTTAGGGTGAGTGGTTTTGTTTGTGTTTTTGGGTTGTTCTCCCGCCCTGGCGGGGGGTCGGGCTAGAAGATCTATTAGGTCCCTTCCGACCCTGAAACTATGAAACTATGAAAATGCACCTGCTGGTGCATGCTGAGCAGGTAGACATCCGCAAGCCCTTCTTGCATTGTGAGCAAAATTATGAATGCTTCCGGGTGTGGACGCGCTGATGCCGGGATAGGTGGGAGGACCGGGTGAAGCTCTTCCCACACTCAGAGCACCGATGTACCTTTTCCACCGTGTGGATTCGCTGGTGCTCAGTCAGGCTGGAGAAGTAGGTGAAGCTCTTCCCACATTCAGAGCACCGATGTGGCTTCTCCCCTGTGTGGACACACAGGTGCTCAGCCAGGATGGAGAAGCGGACAAATCTCTTACCACACTCAGAGCACTGATGGGGTTTCTCCCTCGTGTGGATGAACTGGTGCTCGGCCAGGTTGGAGGAATATGTGAAGCTCTTCCCACACTCAGAGCACTGATACGGTTTCTCTCCCGTGTGGATAAGCTGGTGCCGGGTCAGGCTATAGGAGGAGGTGAAGCTCTTCCCACATTCAGAACAACGATGTGGCTTCTCTCCCTCATGGATACAGTGGTGCTTGTCCAGGTGGGAGGAGCGGGCAAAGCTCTTCCCACACACAGAGCACTGATATGGCTTCTCCCCTGTGTGGATAAGCTGGTGCCGGGCCAGGTTGGAGGAGTAGGTGAAACTCTTCCCACACTCAGAACAATTATATGGCTTGTCTCCTTTGTGGATCAGCTGGTGCTGGGCCAGGCCGGAGGATCGTGCGAAGCTCTTCCCACACTCAGAGCACTGATGTGGCTTCTCCCCGGTGTGGATCAGCTGGTGCCGAGCCAGGTGAGAAGAGCAGGTGAAGCTCTTCCCGCACTCAGTGCACTGGTGTGGTTTCTCTCCTGCGTGGATAAGCCGGTGCCGGGTCAAATAGGAAAAGTAGCTGAAGCTCCTCCCACACACAGAGCAGTGATGGGGCTTCTTCCCTGTGTGGTGGATGTGTTGGTGCTGGGTCAGGCTGGAGGCATAGGTAAAGCTTTTCCCACACTCAGAGCACTGATATGGCTTCTCCCCTGTGTGGATGCGCTGGTGCTTGGTCAGGGAGGAGGATTGGCTGAAGCTCTTCCCACACACAGAGCACTGATGTGGCTTCTCTACTGCGTAGTGGATGCGCTGGTGCTGGGCCAAGCCATAGGATTTGCTGAAACTCTTGCCACACAAAGAACACTTATATGGCTTCTCCCCTGTGTGGATGCGCTGGTGCCGGGCCAGGCGAGAAGGGTAGGTGAAGCTCTTCCCACACACACAGCACTGATGTGGCTTCTTCCCTGTGTGGATGTAATGGTGTTCGGCCAGGCTGGAGGAGCGGGTGAAGCTCTTCCCACACACACAGCACTGATGAAGCTTCTTCCCTGTGTGGATGCGCTGGTGATTGGCCAGGCTGGAGGATTTGCTGAAGCTCTTCTGACACACAGAGCACTGATGTGGCTTCTCGCCTGTGTGGATGCGCTGGTGTCGGGTCAGGTGGGAGGATTGGGTGAAGCTCTTCCCACACTCAGAGCATTGATGTGGCTTCTCCCGTGTGTGCATGCACCTGTGCCTGGCCAGGCTGGAGGGCTGCCTGAAGCTC